CGCCAGCGGCGTGAAGTAGGTAAACCACTGCTAGTGGTGGACTACGTAGACAGCATATTAACCCCACTTACAATAGTGCCCAACGTACTTATGAGGATTGGGACATACCCATTAGTGTTCATAGGTACGGTATATAACAGTGTTGAACACAAACTTACCTGTCTGCAAGGATGACTGGTTAACAGACAGTCAATTGTAACCGGAAGCTTGTAGCCAGCCATTTTTGAAAGGATTTTTATTAGACATTACTACTTATTATTATAAGCGTTATTTTTCGTCAGGAAATGTGTTTGAGTGGTTAGCCTTTTTTTATTTTTTATTATTAAACAGTGAAATGTAACGTTTATAGTAATAATATAATGCCAGATAAAATTCCCTTCAAAAATGGATGCTGTTTACGTTTCGGTTACGTAACTGAAGTGAGCAGATACAGCAAACAGATATAAATTCGTCCAAGTCCCAACGAGAGGTGTGCTTTCTTTAAATAAGTAATTCAAACCTTACACTTTCAGGTTGGTCTCTGGCCAAAATGGACAGAAATGCAGGTTTGAGTCTCTATCGGTGACACAATATTTCTTTAGTAACACTTCTCAATCTAGTGTTCTGTTTAAGAAAATAAAAAATAGGGGTATTCGGAACATATGAGCCCAAAAAAATAACTTTTATATATATATATATATATAAATATAAACTTAGAACTCAAATGCAATTAAAAATTTGGGTATTCTGGTTGACAAGTCGCTTTGTTCATTTATAAAAATTTTTTTTTTTTTTTGTTTTTATTTTATTTATTTATTTATAACGACTGTTTATATCACGTATTTAACAGTTTTGTTTTGGTTTATTAATTTCAAGAACAGTTTTTTAGCCATTGGATGAATTTAGGTCAAATTTTTATTTATTTATTATTATAATAGGGTTATAAAAAATTTATTTTCAATTTTGAGATTCGGATCTTTTATATAATTTAATATAATATTTTTTTCCTCCAAGCAAATGCAAGTTTTTGATTTTGATGACCCAAAATTTCCAAAGATATTTTTGGTTGATGTGCGTTTTTGTTTTTTAATTATATATATAAAGTTGTTTCAGGGTCCTTCAATCCTATGTATACTTTTTTTCTTCGTTATCTGGTGACTAAAGGTTTAAGGGATGATGCAAATGCACGTTGGTTTAATTTGTTCAAATGCTGAAGCCTGATTTTTTGTGTTTTGTTGAATATCTTGTGTAAGGTACTTGATTCTGGGAAGTGTTTGTGTAAGAGTTAAGAATATTTTCCTAGACGTTTTGATGGTGGGTTGAACCATTGATATTTCTTCTCCTGTTGGCCTTTTTTTTGTGTCTGTGGTGAGTATGTGAGTATTGCTGGGAATCCACTATCTTTTATGTTTCATAGTCTTTGTTAAATAAGGGATTCATTGTGAGCCTGCGGTTAATCGATTTTGGTATCTGTTTGATTTAGAAGGCGGAATGTGATGTAATGGTTTATCGTTAGGTTTTCTATATGGTTTATATATGTGCCTTCTCTTAGGTTATCTAGGTTGTTTAGGTTAGTATCTATGTCGAATCCGTTATTTTAAAAATCTTTTTATTGCTTTTCTAGTTTTGTCTGTGTTTTGAACTTAAGATTAATCCATCGTCCCTGTAGAGTCCTGTGTCATTTTTATCTATTATAGTAAAATGATTTCGCATGCTTTCAAACCTTCCCATTGTAGTGTCAAATATCCCATTTTTTTTATCCATGAGACTTCATTTTGGAATAATGATTTACGGGAGTAATTATATTAAAACTTGGTTTTATTATTATTTGTTCCTCGATGGCCTTATCTATAAAAATATACCTTATATATATAGATTAAGAATTGGCATTTATTTATACATATAGAACCAGTCAATAGTTGTTTTCGTACACACTATGTTTACTCCTAATTTCTTAAACAAAAAGATAGCACAATAAGAATATATTTCTTTATATATATATATATATATATATATATATATATATATATATATATATATAATAGATGGCACATTAAATGACTTGATGTCTTCCATAAAGGTTGTCTTGTACAATCTGTGACCAAAGGTTTGATGATCGAGCATCAAATGCTGAACCTTTTGAGAAATGCAAGATTAGTACCATCGAGACCTTCATGATGCAATCACAACTACGTTGGACTGACCACGTGATATGGATGAGTGATGATCGTCTGCCAAAAGTCCTTATTTTTACGGTGAACTCCATAGTGATCATAGAAATGTTGGTAGACCTTGACTCAGGTATAAAGATAAACTGGAAAGCAACGTTTCTTGCGTCAATGTTCCATTTAAGAACTTTGAAGAGGTGTCTATGAAGAGATCAGTGTATCGTTCTAGCTGCCATTCTGAAATAATGCCCCATCAAGAAGTAAGCATCAGTCGACTGCATGAAACACGAAAGCAAAAATAAGACAGGTAACAGTGTTCCTGCTCCACTCGGATACAGTACATTCTCCTGTAATGTTTGTGTTCTTTTGTGCAATTCTCGAGCTAGTCTCAAAAGTCATGCCCGTCATACGCATGCAGATAATTAATACTTGGTCGTCGGAACCTCATACACCGAACTCGATGGGAGAGTCCATCGTATATATATATATATATATATATATATATATATATATATATATATATATATACTAGCTTAAAAGTCGCTCTATCGGGCGGCAATTAATCTAGCTTCTACAAAGAGCTCTTGATTGAATCTTCGGCTTGTTAAGGAGTTTGAGAGACCCTAAGTCTTTGCATATTCTCGGTATTGGAATATCTCCTGACTGCCGTTTGATGTGGTTTTTCATTTGCCCAAGACTTTCTTTTCCTTGTTGCAACCTCGCTTCTTTTGATTGCAATCTTATCCTCTTCTGGCGGGGGTTTCTTTTTGAGAGGAGATGTCTTTTTTCATACCACTGCCATATGCGATAGGCAACAAGAAACTACAAAAGAAGTCAAAATTGTTCGCTGCATTTAAGTATTTCATTAATATTTAAGCTTACCTTCTTATAAGTTCAACGATAATTCTTCTGCCGCTATTTTAATTTAAAGACAATTTGATGTACGTAGGTCCTTATTTTCCGTACAAACAATTTTATTTCATGGGCGACGTTCACTGGATTTCGCAATTAATTTCGATTATTCCCAAACTTATTTCCAAATTAGATAAACTGTTAGCGTACTAAAAACATCGTCGCAAAAAAAATCATGTAAAAATCGTCGAAAACAATCGCAGTAATGAAAAATTGGGAATCAAATATTCCAGGACTGCGGGTCTGGATCCTCTCCGGAATGTCTTTTATTAGGTTGGTGCAAAAATAATGACGTAATAATGTATTTTTTTGACGTTAAAATTACGTCAAAAAACGACATTATTACGTCATTATTTTTGCACCAACCTAATAATTTGCTCACGGAGTTGGCCTGATTCCAAAATGGTATGATATTAGGTTGGTGATAATGTCGTTTTTTGACGTAATTTTAACGTCAACAAACGACATTATTACGTCATTATTTTTGCACCAACCTAATATGTTGGGCTACGAGTAAAGTTAAAAAAGTGTGACACATTGACATTTGCTTTTATCTATATGGAAGGAGATGAGATATTTTAAAGTTAGGGAGTTGTATCCCTTTAATTGAAAAAATGTGACACACGGACATTTATAATGTTTTGAGGTTTCAATTTTTATTTATTTTTTTTTGAGCGGGGGAGTTAACAATTAGTGTTTTTTTTTTCACTTAGCGTATATAAATGTATTACATGTTAATGAATTCAATAGATTTTTTCTTCTTTATGTGGTGTTCCTCAGGATGTAGGTGATCATGACCCTCCCCAATTTCCTGGCATTTGTAGCTCTTAATAATTGTTGTCTTTTCGTTATTTCTCCTAAACACTATTCCGCCATCAGTTTAATTAAGCTCATGAAATATTTTATGCCTTGTTTCCTCGTTTTTACTTCAATCTATCCCGTGAGTATCAGATTTTTCAAGCCCTCTTTCCTCATTATCTGCCCACAAAATTTCAGCTATGTTTTTCTGATGTTAAGTAATGTATGCATGTATGTATGTATATATACCAAAGTATAGGACTAGTGTAGACGGAATAAAATTCCAATAAACAAAAGCGCTATTCTTAAAAGAGTGCTCAGTATGAAGTAGACCAAATATTATTCAAAATTATAACATAAACATGTTATAATATCACTAGAAAAATAGTCAATTTGTTTCAACACTTCTGGTGTCTTTTCACGTGATGGCATCATATATATATATATATATATATATATATATATATATGAGTGAACATACAAGTCAACAGACAAAGGTGACAGACTGTTTCATGCTAGAATGAAACAGCCTGTCGCCTCTGAATGTTGACTTAAAGGTTCACTTTTATATTTACATACGCTCTATTTTATCCCATAAATATTGCACACCTTAAAACTATATTTCTTCATATATATATATATATATATATATATATATATATATATATATATATATATATATAAAAAAATCCTAAGGTCGGTTGGTTAATAATAATTTTACTGAGAAAATTTTGGCAACATAATAAAATCTGACAGTGTAAGCAAAGTTTTGCCGATAAGTATGGGAGACCATTTTGATAATATTATTATTTCTGTCTCTACGAAATATGCGTTTGTATTAATGTTTCTCGACATTCTATATCAAGTTGACGCGGGAAGCTGATCTATCAAGCACACGCCATTTTCACTGAAGCAGACGATTTGTCAGTGTATGAGATGTCGGATATTATATAGGCATGCGGCCGACTCGAAGGATCTTAATTCCAATCAGTAACTCGCAAGCCTTTTTCTGTCTGTCTGTTCACCTGATACATTTGTGTCGCCTTCTGTTTCGCCGAAAACTGTGCGATTGGGCGGGGGAGGGCGAGAGACTAGTACGCCTGAAAAAGATAGGAACCGATAAGGAGGAGAGATGAAAAAAACTCATGCAAAAAAAAAAGGATGAAAAAGATGTCGAAGAAGCAGGGATAAGTTTAACGAAGAAAGTGAAGAGGGTGTAGATAAAAAGGGAAACAAATGAAAGTTGTTTGAAAAGAAGTTAGGAACGAAGAAGGATGAAAAGGACAAGGAGTAGAATTTAAAGAAGTAAGAGAATATGAAAGGAAAATGGTGGAAGAAGAAGAAGAAGAAGAAGAAGAAGAAGAAGAAGAAGAAGAAGAAGAAGAAGAAACGAAAATTCTGTGACGAAACAGAAATGGGCGGCTGATTATTGAAGAAGAAGAGGAAGAAGAAAAAAATTAAAGTAAGAAAAAAAGAAAGAAAGAGAGAAATAAGATAGAAAGAAAGAAAGAAAGAAAGAAAGAAAGAAAGAAAAAGAAAAAGAAATAAAGAAAAGAAAAAGAAATAAAGGAAGAAAGAAAAAAAATTAAAGAGAGAAAGAAATAATAAAGAAAGAAAGAGGGAAAGAAAAATAAGTAAATAAATAAGTAAAATAAATAAAGAAAGAAAGAAAGAAAGGAAGAAAGAAAGAAAGAAAGAAAGAAAGGAAAATGAAAAAGAATTTGAGGAATGTTCTGTAAAGCAAATATTATTAAAAACGACAGAGACTTTGCGCCGATTTATTTAATTGATCGACTTTTCTATATTACGAATAATCCTTCAGCAAGGAGGAAATACCGCCAAAAATTGTCCGAAGTTCAATTCGGTAGAAAAGTACACGGAAAAACCTCACTTCCAGGCGCCATTTTTTTTTTTTTTTTTTTTTTTGATGCACCTGATTTGCAATATGAAGACAGACGTTGAAAAAATAAATATATAAATAAATTAAAATAAATGTTCATTAGTCAACTCCCTACCACAGAAAAAGTCGTTTATCTTCGAACTCCTCTTTCAACCGAATTAATTGCTCATTGCAGAGTTTAGTTTCAATTTTCCGAGTTTCAAGAAATACCTCTTTGAATAGTGCTAAACATGGAGAATTTTTCTTCAGTTGATTTGACTTGGGTAAAGATATTGAAAGCTGACTTGAATCATGTTTGGAATTTCTTTACTTTTTATTCTCGTCATAAATCCATTTTAGTCGCCAAAAATGACGTTTCGATGTCGATCATTGTTGATCATGTTCGTTTCTCTTAACTTCATGAGACAGACATATTGCACCGTGTTAATGACAGGCACAGAAAGAAAATTTCAAAATTTTCTAGACACGATAGTAAAGAAAAGAGAGAATAAAAAATTAACCGCCAATTGTAAAAGACAGAATGTCAAGTCGTTAACAATAGGACCAGATCAAGAAAGATAATAATCGAAGATGTCAAAATCAAACAATTACAGAACAATCTGTGAGGTGATATAACAGATGAAAGATAATGTGCCACAAAAAATCGAAGTAACATTACTGTAATGAAAGATGTCTTACAAAAGTTAAGCAAAGTATTAAGAAACAGTAAAATTTCGTTAGAAATAAGAAAAGAGAGCTAAACTGCTTTGTAATGTCAAAACATCTGTGTGAAAATGATTGTTGAAGGATTTCTTCGCTGATGAAAAGGAGATATGAAGCAACAGAGATCTGGTTCTACAGAAGTATACTGAGAATACCATGGACGGGAGACGTGAGCAACGGGGAAGTTTTAAGGAAAATGGGAAGAAAGAGGTCTATTATACATAGAAGCGGAAATAAAGAGTTAAAATTGTTAGGACACGAGAATGACGGCCTAGCGAATTTAACTCTCACATTACAGACTGAAAGCAAAAGGGAAACAGCAATTAAACTAGCTGACGAACTTGTATAAATGGATTCCAATGCATAGACTGGAAGGTATGGTAAATGAGACATACATTACTAAGATCTATAAAGAATAAGAAGCTGTGGAGAGTTATGTTCCCCGTTGTCCATAAAGGGACATGGTGCATAAAAAAGAAGTTCATATGGAGCTCACTTTGTAAATGATGTCCGACAGCTGACTTTGCACAAGCAATAAAGAACAGTAAACATCAAAGTGACTTCTAAGACTCATTCTTGATATTAGGCAAATATGTTTCTGAAATCTTTGCGTTACGTATGACTGTGCTTGTGTATAAGTGTGTTCGCGAGCGCAGGAGTAAACAAAGAAAAAATATTTTTTTAAAAAATCCAATGTGCAGTTATGGATTGTAGATTGCAAAACAAACCCTTTCCAGCGCCATTGATTGACAAGGAATATTTTGTCGTAAACAGGTCGGTTGAAATCCTACTATTGCTTAGGTATCACCACCCCTTACACGACTGTAAATAACGCGTAGACTTCTGACAGGTCTTCAAAGAAATTTCTTGGTTAAAAATGCCAGAATTTATAAAACATATTTTTTTAAAAAAATATTCTGCTGCTGTAAACAACAAAACGACTATATTGTTTTTCACCCCTAATAAACGCACCCGAGTGCACTGACCTGCCAAACCAAGCGTATTCTTCATAAAAATTCATAAAATGAGTACCTAGGTTTATTTGGCCAGCATGTAAATGGTAGCCATTGGTCGGACATGCATGAATAGGTTCCGCGAATGCACTGGCCTAATTAAAAGGGATCACACACACACACACACACACACACACAAAATATATATATATATATATATATATATATATATATATATATATATGTAATTTATAAATTCATGAATCATTCATACAAAAAACAAATATAGAGGTTAATGATTTAAATGGCAAGAATACATCTTCGCAAACAATATAAATAAGATACATCAACCCCGAACCTGTATATGAATGATATGATCCCTGTTCATAATTTCCAGTTGCATAAGGTCTTTTAATTTTTACAAGCTGCCGTCTATTCCTACAGACATCCTCAGGTATGGAAATAGATTTTGTTCTTGTTTTTACTTCTCGGTAATAAGAGGACAACGAAAATAGAGATGAAATCCGAAAAAATGCTATGAGAAATGTGTTATTGTTTTGGAGCGTGCGGTCGCAACGTTGAGTTTGAACTTAAATTTTAAGGTTGTGCGTTTTTGTACAAAAGAGAATTCTTTTTTACTGGTAAATTTTCCGTCTATATGGCATGAACTATATTGTTCGACAATTACAGGAATGTCACACTTATTATCCGAAAGTTGCACGTTGGATCAGTTATTTTAATTTCAATTAAAGGTGCAAATTATAATTTCGAGTGGTATCTATAAAGAAGAACGTTAAACATAAAAATGTCTTTAATAAATAAATTGTCGGACTTTGTCCATTTCTTAATATATGACGTCATTTGTTTACATTTGATACACCAGAACCGTTATGAATGTACGAGATTCATGGAAGATTGAAGTAAATTCGACCTTGCCTACCGAACGCTCCTTTGTGGCCGAGTCGGTTAAGGCACGTCAGCGTAAATGACGGTTCCGTATAGGATGTAGGTTCGAATCCTGTCTATGAAAATTTCTCGGACATTCAGGCCGGTAAATGTTATTTAATACTGTTTATTATAAACGGAGCATTTACTTAAATACTTGTATCTATAAAAAAGAACGTTAAACATAAAAATGTCTTTAATAAATAAATATATATATATATATATATATATATGATAAATTACTTGAACAAAGCAATAACACAAAAACTTCGTACGGTTTATTGCCAATTTGGAGCACATTGCTCAACACCTTATTTGAAAACTGGAAAAGTACACGGAAAAATTAAACGAAAAGACAGACCTTATCGGCTTTTGTTAATTAAAACCGTTTTGAATCTATGATAAAATATCGTTTTTTTATTATCAGGAAGAGATAATATGTAAATATAAGCAGTGCTCAACATTGAATGGTTGAACGCAATCTTCAAGCCATAAAATAGACTGTTAATATTCTGTGTTGATTTCTGTATTCACAGCGCTTATATATATATATATATATATATATATATATATATATATATATATATATATGCAGGACAGACTAGATTCTAAGGCCCTGGATGGCAACTGGTCTAGGAGAATGACAACGCTGAATTCAAAACCTCCAGAGGGTCGTTTGGGGACCTTGTGGCACGTAATGCACCAGATCTCTGTATTCAGCCCTTCAGAAAGTGTGGATGGTTCTGCACAAAACCTTCACCACTATAATGAAATCACACACACACACACACACACACACACACACACACATATATATATATATATATATATATATATATATATATATATATATATATATATATAATGGGCGTAACGGTCCATCACACAAAATGTTTAAAACTCTAAACTAATCGAGTCTCATTTTTTCAGGTTTTCAGATAAGATGGTTAGCCAGCTACAAAACATTTTTCGTAAGAATCACTGAATCAGCTAGGAAAAGAAAAAATTAAAATTGTTTTGTGTCAGTGCCATTATGTCTTACACACTGATCAATGGTGAGAGGAAAAAGATGATTCAGGCCTTCAGTAATTTACACTCTGGCTTCTATCTTTAAAGCCCATTCAAGAGAACGGCGAATAAGTTTAAAAGAGAGGAAACAGTAGAAAGGAAAAGGTCACAACAGGAAAGAGGATCATCATTTCAACTTCGAGTTAGAGAGATCAATTAGAAAAAGATCCAACTCAATCTATAAGACGTTTGACACTTAAGAATAGAGTTTCACCTATAACAGTCCAAACAGCAGTGAACAAAAATATTTGAAAATGAAATCGTACGTGAAACCTGTGAGGCATTTTGTTATTCCAGAACAGAATGTTAGAAGATTAGAGAGGGCGAAGATCATCGTGATTAAAATGGAAAATCAGCCTGGAATAATATTTTACAGAGATATGTACACAAACAGACGCAATGGCCGTATTCTTGCTTCAGATCCTGACGAGAGAGACAAGAATGTCACTTTCACGTGCAAAAACCTCTGCCAAGGTAATGGTTTTCGCCTCTGTGGACTATGATGGCAGGAAAATGCCATTGATCATGTTTGAGGAGGATGAGAGACTGGGATGACTTCGCTATGTTCAAATTTTGAAAAAGTAAAGACCTGGATTCGTTCTGAATATCTTGAGGCTAGAGACAATCGAAACCCCAAAATCAATAAGGCCTTCAAATTTACATTCTAGCAGGATGGAGCTCCTTGTTGCACGAGTGTAGTGGTTCAAACATTTCTCAGGGATGATTTCTCGAACAGGTTTTGGGATGAGGAAACTTGGCTTCCTTCATCACCTGATTTGAATCCCTTAGACCTCAGCATCAGGAAGGAACTGGCCAGAAAAGCTTGTGAAATGTCCCACAGTAACCTGCAAGCCTCAATGCATGCATCAATAATTCATTAAAAAAGCTTGTGGTGCATTCAAGAAGTGGGCAAATCTTGATGCCTAACAGTTTGGACTTGTGCCAAAACTGTTATTATCATTCAGAAATAATTATCGGTCTTTAAGCTTCCATTTGAACTCTATTTCAATCCTTCATGAGCTTCTAATCCTTATCTATGATTAATTAATGAGGAACATGTCATTTTCGTTTATGATCGATTTCATCACGATTCTTCAGTTAAGCTTGAAAGGTAATTATATATTTTTATATATTCTTATTCTTCAAAGAAAAGTCCAGTGATGTT